CCCGTCCGTCTGTCCACATCCCACCCCAATCCCGCCCAACGGGCATGATTGATGCCAGTACTGGGGTGTTGTGTCGGACGTGGACGCACGTTCGTACCCTGGACTGCTCGCTGACAGCGAGGTCTGCAGATACGAGTACCTCTGGGAAGACGGGCGCGGTACAAGAAGGCGACGAAGCTGCCGGCGCCCGAGTACGTCGACGCGCTCATGAACTGGGCTCAGGGGCTGCTCGACAACGAGGAGATCTTCCCGAGCGAGATGGGTGCGTTCGCCGCCGCTCGGCGTATGCGCACGGACGTACGCTGAGGTCGCGCGCGCAGGGAAACCGTTCGGGAAGACGTTCCGGGAGACGATTGGGCGGCTCTTTAGGCGGCTCTTCCGGGTGTACGCGCACCTGTACAGCAACCACTTTGAGCACATATGCGCGCTGGGCATCGAAGGTGCGCACAGTCAGCGATCTCAGAGGACCCCTGTGCCGGCGCGCGGGGACGGGAATCGGCGATGGGGGTGGGGATTGGAGAAGGCGTGCTGACGGCGGACGCAGCGCACCTGAACACGAGCTACCGGCACTTTTTCCTTTTCGTGAACGAGGTGAGCGTTTAGGGTTCGGTCGCTTGAGTGGGCCGGGAAGGCTGACTGGCGGCGCAGTTCGATCTCGTGGACAAGCGCGAGCTGGCCCCTCTCGACGAGTTGAACGAGGCGATCTTGGCAGAGGACAAGAGCCGGTAGACGGCGCTGCGCGAGGCAGAAGGAGGCGGCACGGGGCATAGTAATGGCGTGAGGGAGGTGCGGACTTGGGCTTGGATTACGGTACGCGCTGTAGAATATATGGCACCGCGCTGGGCTGGGATAGATACCCGGGGCTGGACCACCCCACGCCAGATTCCATAGTGAGCGAGGACGGCGGGGTGACGTCATAAGCGACGAGGAAGAGCAGGGAACGGACGAGGGATGGGCCTGGCTCGGTGGCAGGCTCAGGCCCTGCGAGGGTATAATAGCCCATCTCCTAGCCTGGCGCGACCCCCCACACATGCGCGAGAGCCCGTCCGCATCGTCGCCGCTCGTCCACTCCGGGGCCCAGAATGGACGGCAGCCGGACAGGCGCTGGATCTGCCCCCTCGTCCCGCCCCGCCACCGCGGCCGCACCTTCGACCGCGCTCTGCCGATCCGTACCGTGCACTCCATCCCAGATGCCCGTCTGAGCTCAGCAGCCTTCCTTCATATACCCTCCCGCCCGCCCGCTTCTGCCCCTCGCACCCACTCCCGCTGCCTTCCCCACTCCCTCCTTCTTCCCTCCACCTCCCCCGCCCCCCGTCATGGACAGCGCAGACTGGGATTCCGTGCTCCAGTACATCTCCGACACGCCTCAGGACCTGCCCTCGCCCCAACCTGAGCGTCCCGTCGCCGAGACCACTGGCCTCCCCCTCCATCCACAGCTCCCCACCCCGACACAGGTACTCACCCCGCCGGTACGCGTCCCCCAGCTTCTCTCCACTCCCTCCGCTGACCCCATCTTGCTCTCCCGCCCCGCGTCGCGTCGCGTTCCTGTCCCCGCACCACCCCGCACACAGGCTTCCGACAAGCAGTCGCCTCCCGACCTCCAGGACGACGTCCCGCAGGGGCATGTTCCCGGCAACACCATCGTCTCTGTCTCGACCACCTTCCACCCGGGCTCGAATCTCCTCCCTATTCCCCCAGACCTCATCTTCCTCTCTGCCGACGGCGTCTTCTTTTACGCCCACACTACGCAGGTACTCGCCCTGTCCGCCAACCACTTCAACAATCTCGTCCCCCCAAAGCTCAACAAGTCCAAGCTCCGCGATGACTTCGGCCCCGTCGTCCCCCTCCCCGAGCCCGCCGCCGTCCTCAATGTCCTCCTTCATGTCATTTACGAACTCTCATGCGCCCACTACCACCCCAGCATAGACACCCTCGCCGCCGCCGTCGACGCTATGGACGTGTACGGCCTCTCGCCCAAGCGCCATATCGCTCCCTCGACCCCGCTCTACTCGTTCATCCTCAGCCAGGCTCCCATTCAGCCGATCGTTGTCTACGCGCTCGCCTCCGCTCACGACCTCTATGAGCTCGCAGTCCCTGTCTCGTCCCACCTTCTCTCCTTCGCCCTCCACTCGCTCACCGACGAGATGGCAGTCCGGATCGGGCCAGTATACATGAAGCGCCTGTTCTTCCTCCATCTCGGCCGACTCGACGCGCTCAAACGCCTCCTCTTGCCCCCGCCCCATCCGCATCCACCTACATCAGGATGCGATTTCACGGAGCAGAAGAAGCTTACGCGCGCGTGGGCGTTGGCCTCAGCTTATCTCGCGTGGGACGCGCGGCCAGGTACGTGCCCTCGCCCTCGCTCGCTATGGATTGCTTGTTGAGCTTCGCTGTCCTTCTCATCAAACGCGTGCCCTGTATATGACGCATACATGCGCTCATCGTTGCCACGCTTGATGTTGGTGCACTCTCCTGGTCGTCAACACTCAAACATTACCACACTCGCGCGACCACCATCGCAGACCTGTCGACCAGTACGATGGAGGGCGCACTCTGCCCGCTCGCCGACCACCTCTCGTGCGAAGTGTGCAAGCAGAGCCTCGCGGACCGTGTGCGGCAACTCATCATCCAGTGGTCCGTCGTCAAGGTATGTTGTTTGCACTCGTGTCCGCGCCTGGCGTCCACTGACTATGGTCCCGTCTACGCCCGCCAGCGATCAATATGAGGTCAGATTGCGCTATCGAAGGCTTCTCCCGCACACCCACGATTTCGGAAGCCGGCGAGCTGCGCGCCTCTCTAACTCCCTCGACTCCACCTTCTCCTATGTTCGCCTCGGCCCGCCCCGCATGTGAGGCCCGCTCACGCTGGGCACCCGTTGACGTCTTTCGCGCAGCTCCGCAACGCATGCGTTCCGCTCCACGGTTAACTCACTGCGCGGAGGACTTGGACAAGCGGTCGTCCGCTGACCCCGACCCCCGTTCCTGCCGTCGCGTTGCGGGCGAACCCAAAAAATCTCCCCTCCGCCCTGTAAATTATTCCTCCGTCCTCGTTCCGCAGCTCGCACCCGCTCTCTCGCATGCACTCCACACGCATAGTGTATCCGGTCGTCGGTCGCTCTGTATCCCACTTCCCAGGCTCCAGTTTCGTTCGCATGAATCCTCGCATCCACTGTAAAACACCCGCCGCTGTCTTGACTGTATCATAGCGCTTTCGTTCCTTCCTAGCATTAGCCCCTCTCCCCCCTCCCTCGTCCCGTAGCCGCAGCACGGCTCTTGCAGGCCGTTCCCTCATAAACGACAGACCCTGCCTGCAACGCCGTGCGCGGTTCCCCCTTCCCCTGCCCGTCACCTGCATCCCCCCTCGTCTGCATTTACCCCCACGCACCCATACGGAGTACGGTCACGACCCTCGTGCCCCTCCTCCCCTGTTTCTCATGGACTTTGTACTGAGAAGCATGCGTCTCGCACACACGTCTAGCATATTCTCTCTTGCCGATTACTGCTGCTACCGTACTGTTCCCGCACCCGCCTCTGCCCTGCACGCGCGAGGTGGCATAGTCTCCCTTCCACCCACATGAGGGCTCAGCGCGCCCAGAGGCAATGCCACACACACGCCGCTTGCTTTCGCTCGCTCGCGCCCTCGTTGTCTTTGCTGTGTCCGCCCGAGTGCCGCGACTTTACATCGACGGAGCTAACCGAGACCTGTTGACGAGGTATACGTACGAGCCACACCACGCGACAAGCGAGCCCGAGAAAGTCGGGAGGCAACATTCGGTACCGAGACACAACCGCGAACCAGCCGCTCCAGACACTTCCAGACGCTGCTTAATCGAGTCTATCCGCCGACCGCGGGGCTCGGGGAGCCAGATACACACGGCGAGATCCAGAGCCCGCGGCGGCGAGTGCGCGCCCGCGCGGGGGGATCTGCCGATGCGCGCGAGGGAGCTTCACGAACGTTCTCGAGCCTCCGTCGCGCGCCCGCGCCCACGCCCGCGTACATACTACAAATTCCACCCCACCGGCACCTCACCGCGTCATCGTCGCGCGCTCGGTCCGTCAGAGCACCGCGGACGCGTACTCGGTGGACGGGCCACGCTCGAGCCCGAGGTCCGCGGCGCGCCTAGCGTTCTTGAGTCTGTGCACCTCCTCGCGCCGGCCGAAGTCCGAGTCGTGCAGCTCCTGGTGGTCCTGGTCAGCCTACGCGAGCTCAGACCAGACCGGGGGCGAACACGACGCACCATGTTCGCGAGCCGCTTCGCGGTCGAGACCGCGTTGAGGTGCTCGAGCACCTTGCTCTCGGGCAGCGTCATCTCTTCCAGCTTCGTGCCTGTGCAGAGAGGGAGGGACCGAGGCGCCCGGTCAGTGACAGGCGCCCAGGAGCAAGAAAGGAAGAAAGAAAGAAAGAAAGAGGATAAGGCGACTGACCGATGCGCCCCTCGACGGCGAGCACGCGCTCCTCGTCGCGCTCGGTGACGAAGCTGACCGCGACGCCGCCGCGGCCCGCGCGCGCGGTGCGGCCGACGCGGTGCGTGTACTCCTCCGCGCCGGCGGGCACGTCCCAGTTGACGACGAGCGCGACAGCGGGGACGTCGAGCCCGCGCGCGCCGACGTCCGTCGCGACGAGCACGGGGACGGCGCCGGCGCGGAAGAGCGCGAGCGAGGCGAGGCGCGCGCGCTGCGGCAGGCGCGAGTGCAGCGCCGCGGTGCGGATGCGGAGGCTCTGGAGGAGCGCGGTGAGGAACGCGGCGGTGCGCGGGCGCGTGCAGAAGACGATCGTGGGCGGGGGCTGGGGCGGGGCGTCATCGGAGGAGGAGGAGGATTTTCTGGACTTGGATTTTTTGGAGGGTTTGTGTTTGGAGGGCTTGGAGGGCTCGGGCGGGGCGACACGGAGGTGGAGAATGGACTCGGGAGGGTTGCAGAGGAGGTAGTAGAGGTAGGATTCCCGGACATGGGAGGGGACGAGGATGTAGTGCTGCTTGAGGGTATCCACCGTCTCGACGCTGGAGCGGGGGATGAGGATGGGGGGTGCGATGAGAACGCCAAGACGTACGTAGTAGACATCCTGTGGATGAATGCTTTCTGCTTTCCAGATTTTGGAGGAGCTTCTGCTATTCGTTCCACCGCCGGTGTCAACGTAGCCGTGAAGAGGGAGGTTTGTCGTTCTTTCGGCAGCACTTCGAACAGATACGAGAGCTCGGGCGCGAATGATTCGGTGAGCAAGCGGTCCGCTTCATCAAGCACCTGGTTGGTGTCAGCGCATACATCGAAAGTAAGTAACGACACACACCAGAAACTTGACTCTTGACAGATCCCACTCTCCAGAACAGCTTCTCAGGAGGTCTACGATCCGCCCTGGAGTGGCGACGACGACGTGTGGCCTTTGCCCGAGCTCCAGAGCCTGCGCCATCATGTCCATCCCTCCTACGACCACCGCTGTCCGTAGATTTAGAGATGCACCAAGGACTGCGAACTGGTCGGCTATTTGGAAAGCCAGTTCTCTGCCAAGGATGAGAGAAGAACATGACGAAAGTTCGTGAATCGCACCTTGTTGGTGTCAAGACCAACGCAAAGATGCCATAAGGGTCGAGCGACAACTTTTGAAGGATAGGAAGGGCGAAGGCTATTGTCTTTCCCGAGCCAGTCTTCGCATTCCCTATGCAATCCCTGCCTTGGAAAGTATGACTGTCAGCACCGCCGCCAAACGGCTCGTGTCGAGAGCGTAACTCGCCTTGCAATAAAGGTGGCACACAAGCAGCCTGAATCTCGGTTGGAGACCGAATCGACATTTTGGAGAGTGCGCCGATGAGGACCGAAGATATCCCCATCGTTTCAAAGCTTGAAGGAAGCGGACGGCTCTGCGTCGATGGATTTTTGGCGGCAGACAAAGCAGTTCGTGGTTTGAATGCAACACGAGACACAAATCGACTTTCCTCCTCGTCTTCGGGGAGAGGAATCGGTCGTACGGGCTCACTGTAGTGCGCACCGTCGCTGCTGTTTTCGTCCTCCCCGTCCTCCCATCACCGGAGTTCGCGTCTTCATCCTCATCTTCGCTTGCATCGCCATCCTCTTCATCATCCTCTTTCTCTGTAGTGCCGTTCAAGAATCCTTCCGGTCCGGAATCCTCGTCTAGCAGTTCATCGTCGGAGTTGTTGAGCCTGAGTCGTTTCCTTCTTGGCCCTTCCTGTAGCCGCATGAGATCGTCGGCTGTGAGCGCATTTCTTTTTGGAGGCATGTGAGCAGACGTTGGGTTGAATAACTGAGAGAGGCGAGGGAGCAAGGAACGGTGTAGCGCCGTTAGAACACGGTGGGCAAAGAAAACAGTTGGCTGGGCCAAAGGGCCCGGGCCGGATCCGAGGTGCGTGACCAGCGCTTTCGCCGCCCGCTAGTTAGACACGAACCACTTCCTCCCGCTCATGTACATTCAGGATCCGCCAGTATTCCGTATAGGGAACAAAGGAATCAAGTGTGTTGCGCCGGGCACTCCGGCAGACAATCTGCCGGATTTTGTCAGTCGCTCCGCCGAGATTCGTAAGCACATCCACTACTGCACTTCATAAGCACGGTCCACGCTGATGCAAATCCCCACACCTAGTGTCTCCTACTTGCAGCTCACCAACGTAGTCATCGCACATGCTAAAGACGATCTACTTCTACGACATCCCTGGCATTTCGAAGGCCCTCGCCTGGTCTCCAAACACATGGAAGACGAGGTGCGCGCGCCGCCCATTTGACTGTACGCCATCTCACCTGACGCTCGCGTGTAGGTTCTGCCTCAACGCCAAAGGCCTCCCCTACAAGACCATTTGGGTCGACTTTCCGGACATCGAGGCGGTCTGCACCAAGATCGGCGCCGCGCCCACCGCCAAGAAGCGTGACGGCTCCCCTGTGTACACCCTCCCCGTGATCTACGACCCGAACACAAACACGACCGTCTCTGAGTCGCTCGCCATCGCCCGCTACCTCGAGCGCAGGTACCCCGACCGCGTCGTGCTCATCCCGCCCGCGCTCGACGGCCTCATGGCCGACTTCCAAAAGGCGGTCTGGGCCACGTTCGGGCTGCCGATGATGAAGCTCATCATCCCCGCGGAGCACACGACGATCCGCCCGGTCGCCCGGCCGTACTTCCGCGCGACTCGCGAGGCGCGGTACGGGCAGGCCCTCGAGGAGTTTCCGCCTCCTGGGAGCGCGCTCCGTGCGGAGTGTTGGGCGACGACGGAGGCCGCGGCCGGGGTGCTCGCCGGATGGTGGGACCAGGAGGCGAACACGAAAGGTCTCGTCCCGCACCCCGCGGTGGGTGCCGGGGAGAGGACGCTGCTGATCAGCGACGCGCTTCCGGTGTCGTACGCGGATGCGATCATGGTGGGCTGGCTGTACTGGTTTAGGGAGTGTTTGGGCGAGGAGAGTGAGGAGTGGAAGAAGATGACGACTTGGCATGGCGGGAGGTGGGTGAGGCTTATGGCCGTGATGGAGAAGTATGCCGCAGTCGACTCGGGAGAGGAGCTTCAACTGGCGAAGTTGTAACTGCCAGAAAGATGCGATCGAGTGTATGGCATGACGAGAACATTGCATACAGGACAACTATAGTCAAGGCTTGCTCGATTTTGACTTGTAAACATGACGCGACCTTCACGGTCTCAGTGGAGCGTTCTGGGCGAAGTCGTGGCTGAGCATGGACGACGAGTAGTCGAAAGGCGAAGAAGAGCGAGGTTTGAAGAAACCGCTTGTACATGTGTCATAATAGTGACTAAGAGTAACGAAACATCGTAACAGTGCGTGACTCACGGCGACTATGCATTTGGTGAGCCTTCGACTCGCGCCCTTGTCTGATCACTACCACGGCCCCCTCTGTACCATTTGCTATGCAAGTATAATTGCCCATCTTCAAGCCGAGAGCGCCTGGTCGATTGCCTCACCAACAGCCTTCGCTGAAGCCGGATTCTGGCCAGTGATCAGGGTACCATCGACTACAACTTTCACCTGTAACACCGGTGCGTTCATTACTCTCATAAGACCATTCAATGGACAGGCCAGTGTGCTCACCCCCCAAACTTTGGTTTTCTCGAAAATAGCACCGAGCGAAACCAATTTGTCCTCGACAAGGAACGGAAGGTTCTGCGGCGTTCATGGCGCGTGTGAGCCTTGAATTCGCGAAAAGTTTCTCTTGGCGTACCTTCGCCGTGCCCATATCCGTCTCCTCGTCGTTGGTGAAACAGGTCAAGCGCTTTCCCTTAACAATGGGCTCCCCACCCGGAGTAGTGGCCATGTCAAATGCCACGGGCCCGTGACAAACTGCAGCCGTTATCTTTCCAGAGTTGAAGAACTAGTGTTCCAATGGCAAGTTCAGTTCGTGCGTCTCGTGCTCTCTCCACAGCCACCGGTCTCATATGGCGATACCCCCTAGGACAGACACTCACGTCAGATGCCAGCTTGGCATTCACGGGGTCGGTCGCGAGGTCGAGGACGGGGCCCTGCCCGCCGACGTAGAAGATGGCGTCATAATTCGCGGCGCTGACCTCAGAGAGCAGCTTCGCCGTCGACAGCAGCTTCGCGACGGCCGGGTCGGTGAGGAATCCTCGGTCGTCTGGGTAGCCCTCGACGCTGCTCTCGTCGACAGGCGGGTTGGGGCCCTTGGGCGCGGCGAAGTCGATTTCGTACTTCGGAGCGAGCACTGCATGCAACATGGCGTCAGCCTCCTATACCACCAAGAAAGGAGCAGCGTTTGTGCCCACCGTAGTATGGATGTGCGGCCTCGGGGAGGTACCAACCCTGTCATGCATAAGTGAGTGTGCAGAAACTTTGCGGTGGACATGGACATATGCCTACGGTCTGACTACCAGTTAAGGTGCGGTCAGCAGAGCTGAGCACGAACAAGATGCGCTTGACCATGTCGTAAGATATGGGTTGGGTTGGGCAGAGGGGAATCAGTTGGTCGAAAAGCACGTAGGAGCAGGGGTGCGATGCGAGGGTTATATGCCTCTTCGGATCCAACCATCGTCTGCGAGCGAATCTAGGCTTTCAGGCCTCAGGTGTCTGCTTGACCGGTCTGACGTCACAGCAGTGCTCATGAAATCCATCGGCGATCATCCAGCGGCTGGGAATATATCATGGACCACGCGACCGATGCCGCGACAACACAGCATATGAAAGCAGGTCTGAGTTGGCGTCGCACATTGAGTCGCGCACTATCCGGAGTTTGGGAGGCGTTTACCTCACGGGCATGCACGGCTAGCGTGGACCCCCCACTGAAGCTCACCACCCTAAACCACCTAAGTCAAGCCCCCTACGTTCTTCAGGGTATACCGAGAACATCCCGCCGTATTCATATCGATGTTCGCGCGTGAGTCATGACCGAGCCGCCGGGGGTCCAGCAAGGAGATAGCAGCTCAGACAGCACACACGAAAAACATATGGGAGAAGACTTCGATTTGGACTAACATCATGCCTGCTAGGGAGCCTCCGGAGTCAGAAGCGTCCGGGGGCAGTGCGTGGCGTACTATATACAATCCACCCTAACATGTTCATCAACGGTTCCCAACGCCGGGCTCGCGGGATGGGTCGTCCAAGTCGAAAATCGTCGGGGAGGAGGAGGAGGGATCGGTGCAGGGTCAGCAAAGTGGCTCAGCGCCGAGCGGTGGGCGCGGCGGAGTCTTCGCTCGCCGCGACGGTGTCGGTAGGGTCGGCGGCCGCGCTGTCGGTGGAGGCTGCACCCGCGCTGTCGGTGGGTGCCGCCCCGCCATCGGTGGCAACCGCGGTCACGGTGGCGGTCGCCTGCGCCTGGGAGATCGCGGAGAGCGCGGCGTCGTCCGTCTGGGAGCGGAGCGTCAGTATTTCCAAACGACAAGCTCGCGGGGCACAAGCGTGTACTCACGGGCTGCGTGTCGAGGTCGGTGCCCGTCGACGGGTCAACGAAGTCGCCGGTCGCGGGGTCGAACGGCTGGTTCGTCTCCGGGTCGAGCGGGAAGTTCGTCGTCGGGTCCAGGTCGAGGCCCGAGTTGGGGTCGATGCGGTTGCCCGTGGCCGGGTTGACGTTCAGGCCGCTCGCGGGGTCGAACGGCTTGCCAGTGGTGGGGTCGATGAAGAGGCCGCTGGTGGAGTTGAAGGGGAAGCCGGTCGTCGGGTCGACGGGGAGGTTCGTCGTCGGGTCAACGGGCAGCGACGGCACCTCGGACGCAGGCGGGACCGTGTCCTGCGGGGGGAGGTCCTCCCCTGGGTTGAAGTTGATGGTGATGGGGCTGCCCCCGGTCTCGCCCCCGCCGGTGTTGGAGGGAGGTTCTGCTGAAGCCGTCACGTCGCCGGTGCCGGTGCCAGACGGCGTGGCCGAAGCCCCACCGGCACCACCGGTGCTAGACAAGGTGGCAGTGGCGTCGACGGTACCAGAGCTAGACGGCGTGGTGCCCGTGGCCGACGACAGAGTCGCCGTCCCAGTTGCACTGGAGGCCGCCGCACTAGAGGCAGCTGCACTGGATACAGGTGCACTGGAGGCCGCCGCGCTGGAGACGGCACTGGAGACGGCACTGGAGGCAGCCGCACTGGAGACCGCCGCGCTGGAGGCAGGTGCACTGGAGGCCGCCGCGCTGGAGGCCGCCGCGCTGGAGGCTGCAGCACTGGAGGCTGCCGCGCTGGAGACGGGTGCACTGGAGGCTGCCGCACTGGACGCAGCCGCACTGGAGGCGGGTGCACTGGAGGCGGCCGCACTGCTCGTCTTCCCGCCAGCACCAGAAGTGGTCTTCTCGGGGGGAGCGGACGCAGAGCTCTTAGCGGGAGGCGCCGCCGCGCTGCTCTTGGCCGGGGCGGCAGGACTGCTCTTCGCGGGGGGAGGAGAGTTGCTCTTGGCCGGAGAGGCAGGGGTGGTCTTGGCCGGAGGGGGCTTCGTTGGAGACTTTGCAGGAGGCTTAGAGGGCGCCTTCTTGAAAGCCTCGGGCCCGCCAAAGCCAGTCGTGAGATCAGCAGGCTGGCCGACATCACTGCGAGCCTGTGGGCTGATGGGCGCCGCAGCCGCACCCATGACGGAAACGAGGAGGAAGAGTGCGACGAAGTTGGACTTGAAGAACTGCATCGTGAAGTAAAGTGACGCGAGGCGAAGTTGAAGGGGCAATGAGCGTATCGTTGAAATGTGTTAGGAAGGATGTACGTCCGGGACCTGCAAGACATGGTGAGTACGAGGAGTGGAAGCGATACGCAGGAGCACACACCTGCCGCGGGGAAGAAAGTAAGAAGGCTGATGTTGTCGAAATCGAAGGGAGGCAGAACCTAAGGAGACCCGGCCATGCCTGGGGGTTCTTATACTGTCCCGGGAGCGCTGCCCGTCAGAGATCGTTCGTAGTCAGTGAGTTTGACGGTGGACTCATCAGTCACCCCCAGACGTCAACGGGAGCTGTGGCGGGCCTTTACAACCGAGGGTCTTGTTGGGTGGCCGATCGTTCTCAAACGGGGTACGAAGGCGGCATTTCAAACAACGGTCACTTCCAACTGCAGCGCTGCTGTGCACCGCCCCAAGTGAGCGCACGAGGCGGGGGGTGGTGATTCTGACGACTGAACCATCAGCCTGAAGCCAACATCTAGATGTGCTGCCACACACCTGAGAAGAGGGCACGAACGGTGCTCTCAGCTGGGTTCGCGGGGACGAAACGGGTCAGCGTTGACGGAGACCGGCCGAGCCACGTCCCATTCGCTGCGGCACCCACAACGATTGACAGCGCCAGCTGGGCGGCATCAGCGGGCTTGCCCATCTTCGGGTCTCCACACGGTCGCCGCGATCAAGAGTCGAGAAGGGGTCCACACATCCGCACTCGTGGAGAGTCGTCATGCCAGTCACAGTGCCTCCACCGCGCGGATACCAACTGTTTTCGGCGCGTCGAGGCTTCGAGCAATGATCGCCAGTCTCGCAGCTGAAATCGGCGGCGGCGGCGCTCAGTTTCGTGAAGACAACGGCTGACAGTGGCCGCCAGCCGGGTGCGCACCATGAGACTGAACGTGTTCCACTGGTCACCATGCACGACAGACGTACGAAAGACAAGGTCCGTACCATGGCTCGAATCGCAGTCAATGAACCGACAGCAACACCAGAGACGGAGACCCAGATGAGGAGCACATGGTGGACAGAGAGGAACGCGCGTCGGAGTCGGTGCACATGCCTGTGCCAGGTTCCGAGGCTGACTCGCACAAGGTGGCCATGCGCGTCGCTCACGGCGGCACTCCAGATTCTCAGAATCAGTTGTGGCGCAGATTCAAATGTTTAATCAAAGCAAAAGAAGGGCGAAATGCAAAAAGAAGCCACAAATCAAAAACAGGGCCCACCGCGAGTTGAACGCGGGACCACACGATAGCAACTCTGCAGTCGTATGCTCTACCACTGAGCTATAAGCCCTGGAAGAGCCGCTGGTCTATGATGGCCATGACTCGATGACTCTTTCACCTGGAGCACTATCCTTGCGACATGTACGTACATGTTGCATATGCACTAGCATGCTCGTAGCTGTCGTTCCTTCACATAATATTCATCACATTGCCATACAGACGTAAGTGCCCCTCAAGCGAAATATCTGAACCCCTTCTCCTTCACGCCCTTCTCCTGCTCTTCGCGGTCAAACTCCCGGTTCAAACTCTCCAGATGGAGTTTGAAGATGTATAGCATGATGGCCGCACAACCGGAGCAGGAGATGCAGATCGCGTAAGAGTAGCGATAGGTTGGGCCCCAAGCGCTCGGCCAGATATACCTGCCTCCAGTCAGCAGGGCCCCTGCAAGTATATCCAAAACGCCACTCACGACCCAGAGATGTTGCCTAATTGCGAGAAAGCGTTGGTGAGCGCGAGCGTGACCGCACGCTTCGACGGAGGGCGGTGGATGGAGCCGCTGATCCAAGTGTATAAGACCACGAAGCCGGAGTAGGATGACGCCATTAGGAACCTGTGCCGCAACGATCAGCCAGCGCGTCTGATCCAGCCCAACATTGAACAGGTACTTACAGGGAGACGTATCGAGCAGCAGTGTTCATCGTGCATGCGGCGATAACAAACCCAAGCACGCCGGCAAGATTGGGGATGGTGACGTGCCAGTACCGCTCACCCGTCTTATCAGAGTGGCTGTATAGCGAACGTCAGCCTATGCAGGTGAGCAAACAACGGAACGTCACTGACCGAGCCACAGCGAACGCCACGAGGGCAGCTAGGATGAACGGCGGCGCGCACAGCAGCAGCGTCACGGTCGGGTTGTACCCCAGCGTCGCGGTGAGGGTCGGGAAGTACGCGTTAAAGCTCAGCGCGATGACCTGCGCGGTCTGAGCGACCGCTAGCCACCACACCTTCCAGTCTTTAGCCGCGAGGATCAGGCCTGCCGCGTGCCCGCCCGTCTCCGTCTGCCCCTCGTCACCCACACCGACGTCCTCCTCCATCCGACGCATCGCGAGCCGGCGCTCGGGGTCGGTGAGCCACCGCGTCGTGGCCGGGAAGTCCGGGAGGATGAAGACGGCGATAAGCGCGACGGCGACGGTGAGCGCGCCCTCGACGTAGAAGAGCCAGCGCCAGGCGGCGCGGCCGAGCTTGCCCCCCATACCGTCAAGGATGCCAGATGCGATGAGCGCGCCGAAGGCGTTGGAGAATATCGCGCCGGAGTAGAGCAGTGCGGTGCGCGCGCCGAGCTCGTCGCGCTTGTACCACTTGCTGAGGATGAAGAGCGCACCCGGGAAGAATGCGGCCTCCACAAAGCCAAGGAAGAAGCGAGTGAGTAATGCTCCTACAAAACTGAACCAGGCAGAGTGAGCATGCATAATATACAACGATGGTGTGGATGGTGACCTACTCGTTCGTGATTCCTGGAGTAACTCATGAGTTCAACGGTTCGGGAGGCCACACGCGGGTACTCACCTGTCAAGATGGAAATAACACCCCAAATAATCATACAAATCGGGAGGTACAAAGATGGCTTCCCCATGAAGTTGAGCAGCATGTTGCTGAGGCGGGCTGAGCAAGGCATTTGGGGTGCAAAGGAAACAACTCACGAAGGAACCTGCATAATGATATATCCAACGTACAAGATCGACAGCAACGTCGCAAACTCTTGACCCTTCAGGTGCAAGTCCTTTTCAAATCCACGCATGCGAGCCGCACTGAAAACCCAGTAAGTCAATGATGCGCGAATACATAGCGATGGTCCCGCACCTAGCATTGTTGCGGTCAACCTGCCCTCACCACCGCCATCAACGACGACACAAGACAAGGCAAATAGAGTAAGACGTGTTGATTCCTTACATTATCTTATCTCATATGATGCAGCTCGAGGACGGACGTCCGATACTGGCCATACCTATTTTAGTTTAGTTGGTACTGTACAGTTCCTCGGCTCTCTCCGAGACGCCCCGGCACAGCGCTCGCTCGACCGCTCGCCCATACCTCAGTCGCTATTGTCCCCGACTGAGGTATGTTTCTATTCATATATTGTTCCTCTATTTCTGTACTTACGTATCTTGTACCTAGCTCGCACTCACACTGTGTGTCGTTAGGTACAGCAATCTAGTCGCTATTGTCCCCGACTGAGCTCGCACTCACACTGTGTGTCGTTAGGTTATGAGCCCTGTCCGCGTCTAGACAGAGCGAGCTCACCTACACGGCGGACTATACCCGTGATCAAATACGCATCACGAAGAGGAGCTGTCCAGCTCCTGAATGCCCAAATCCGACCCGGATCCAGACCCCACATCCACTCCACCGAGTCCCGGTCCGATGGCAGGTTCTTCTGGCGCCGGATCCTCGCCGGACGCGTGGGTCATCCCTTCAATGTCCGGTTCTCTCCCCACGACGCATCCGCTCACCGGAGAAGAGACTTACACGCCATGGTCGAAGAGGATGACAGCTGCGTTCCGACATGCCGGAGTTTGGGAGGTTGTCCAAGGCAGCACCCCAAGATCGACCAGCGACACTGCGCAGGCCGCCGAGTGGGACCGGAAGAACAATGCCGCATCCAGCTGGATTCTCCAGACGGTCGACGCAAGTATCGTTGTCACGATCGATCTCGATAAGACAGCACACCAGCAGTGGACCGCGCTCAAGAACGAATACTCTCGCACCACCATCCACTCCGCGGTTGGTTACTTTTCCATTCTCAACTCTCACTTATCCTCCGTCAACGGCCTTGAAGATCACATCCGCGCCTATCAAGATGCCGTCTTCCACATCCGCGCTGCAGGATTCGACTTCGCCGACGACCTCGCTGCGGGCCTTTTCCTGGCCACTCTTCGCGATCAACCGGGTGAAGGCACACAATGGAAGTCTTGGGCGGCCACCATCCATTCGACTCGACCACCAAGACGACCCTCGAGCACGTCACGGTCGGCGCTCGCAACCAACGACGCCTTGCGCTCGGTATTGCGACAGCCACGACAACGTCGCAGGATACCGTCATGGTCACCAACATGGAGGATGCCTATGCCGCCATCGACCGGTTCAAGCGTGCGGGTAACAAGTGGTGTTCCTACTGCCGCCGCAAGAACCACAAC